AGAAGAGGGAAAAGGGAAAACAGAGCGTGCGAGAGAGAGAGAGAGAGGGGGAGACAACTACGAGAGGCAGTTGATTGGAGGCAAGTGCGAGAGGTGAACTGATCGAAAGTTCTGGAAGAGGTGAGGCCGCGGTAGCTTTGGGAGATATAGGAGTATGGAAGCAAGAAGTAAGAGAAATTTGGAATTCTAAACTAATTTAGGGTAAATCTCAGTGAAATCTTATGTTGCAGGTTAATGGAAATGCTCCACATTAAGGAGACGGAGGTAGATGAGTTGTAGTAGCTAAGGAAATATAAGGGAAGTAGTGGTCGGGGAAGGGAGAGGGAGCACGTTGTAGAGAGAGGTGTACAGTTTTGGTAGGCGAGTGTGTGAGGGAGAGAAGTGAAATGGATTCAGATCAGTGTTGTGTGGACTGGGATGGGGATTTCGAGTGAAAATTTGAGTGTAACTGACAAGTGAAGTAAATGTGATATTGAGATGCATTAGATGTATAGGTTTATAAGTATAGGCAGGCTGGTGACTTGCAGTGGATGTAGGTCCAGTTGTTTAGGTATGTAAGGCTGTTTGGCCCAGGGGGACACATTCTGGTGTGCAGGGACGGTGGTGTGTAGTCTACAGTGTGCATAGGTATAGGTGGGATGGGGGTTAGCCGGTGCTTACATGTTCTGATGTGTAGACATGGTGGTGGGTAATCTGTCATATGTGTGTATATATATATATATATGTACTTAGGTGTGGGAGGCTTCTTGGTCAGTCTTTAAAGTTTTTGGTATGTTGGTATGGCAACCAGTGGCTCGCGACGTGTGTATGTGTAGAGGTATGTGTGTGCGTAAGGCCTTTAGCTGATGCTCGCAGATATTGATTTGCTGGTGTGATGAGTAGTGACACGTTGTATTCATGGCCACTTGGTGGTCGACAGGTCATCTGGTCAGGTGTGTGTGAGGTCGTTATCCGATGTTGGTAGAGTTCGGTGGGGCCATTCAGTAGTCGTTGATACTGGGGATAGCGATGTGTATTCAATGTGGTGGTGTATTGGTGCACGGGGCCATTTAATGGCCGACATGGTGATTGTGGTTACTGTTGGGGTGAGGCCCTAAGATGCAGCAATAATGTGTGTGCATGGTCCTTGTGGGCCGGTATTGGAAGGTGGATGTGTGAGAGACTGGTGGGGTAGATTGAGAGGGTGTATGAGTGTTGGGTAAGGACTACCAAAATGGTATTGAATTAGTAAGGTATCATGGTCAAAAAGGGTAGAGTGCATTCCCCTTCTATGGTTGGAGAATGAGAGGGCTAACGATAAGGGGTCAGGTAGAGTTAGAAGGAAGTCAGGTTATCATTGATTGATTATCAAAAGAGGTAAACAGAATGATAGAAGTAGTAGATGATAGTAAGGAGGGAGGTTAATTAATTGTCATTCGTTAGTTTTTAATTCTAAATTTTATCTTATTGGGTTGTGTATGCTCATTATTTTCATTTTCAGATACTTTGAGGCGGGAATCGAAATTGGAGTGTTTAACAACGTAGCACCGAACTTAAAAGAAATAAGATGTTATCAATGATAATGAGACTTAGTAGTATACTCATTATATTGAAATAGTATTGAACTTTTATGTGTATGATTATGATTGTAAAACTTCTTTGATTTTAGAGTTGTATTATTGTAACGAGAACCGATTATCTTATGAATTAATGGATATAAAATTTGGTTGGAAGTTCTTAAATTACCTTGTCCTGGGTAGGAAGATGAATAGTATATGTTCATATAGTCGAAACAGTAAAGGGGTGTCACATTCCAAGTCAATGATAATTATGTTACCCCAATTACATAATATATATATACATACCCAACAAAATCTTTTTTTTTTTTTTTTTTGAAATGTCCAATGAAATACTTGAGGTAATATCAATGGAGAGGCTCCATTAGACATTGTATTTGACAATAAACCGGTTAAAATTAGGGCACCATTCTAATTTTGCCGAATGTCTACCAAGAAACCGATTAAATTAAAATTGATCCAATAATTTTTTAATTCTACAAGAAGGAGAATTAGAGAGAAAAGAAATTATGAAATTTTTACCATAAAAATAATACTCAATGAAGATAAAAGAAGAGATGGTCAACGTTACTTTCTTTTCTTGAAAATTTTAAAATTTTTTAGTTCCTCAAATTGTGGAAAATGAAAAAAAGAAAAGTAAATGACCTAAATATTATACATACGTACAGAATTTTTTTTTTCTTTTCAATTTAGATTTATACTTTTAAATTTTTTTCAAATCATCATTAATTTTTATTTTAAAAATTAATATCGATTGTTATATCAACACTCAAGTAACAACAACATGAATTAAGTAACAACATATTGAAATCGACCCAATTTCCATTAAATACGAACCCACAAAACTCGATACGCCAAGAACATTTATAATCTCTCACAAAACCCACCTCTAATCTTGCTCTCTCTCATTGAATTGAAATGAAACTAGCATTGATAGAGATAAAGAGATTGTCAATGAAATCATTATTTGTATTTGTATCAAATCTTTATTGTGGTATTTTTACTTACAACATTTGTTTTAGGATTGAGACAAATAAAATTGGCACAAAGATCAAGAGATTGTTTTGTCATATGATGTTATGAAGTGTTTGGGATTGAAGTTTCTTTGGTAAATGGATAAATCTTCAAAGTAAAATTTCAAATAGTTTTATTAAAAGTCACAAATAACCATAATAATATTGATATAACTAAAAAGTTGAATCTTGAGTGTCCATTTTCATGAATAATTATACCTTAAATTGGATTTTTTTTTAAAAAAAAAAATTGTAATAGAATCAAAATAGATTATTTTTCTCTCCATGTTAATAACTGTGTTCATACTGTTAGAATATTTTTCAAAATCAAACTAAACTAAAGTGTATTGAATTAAATCAAAACTAAATAAAAATAATTTTTTATATTGAAGACCGGATCCATGCCACTTTAGTCGAAAACCAAATTAAAAAGTTAAATTGGAGTGAAATTTACTCAAAATTTTTAATTTTTTAAATACAGTTAATATGTTATTTACATAATGTACATAATATGCATATATATTATTTTAATTATTAATATTAAAAAATGTTAAGTTAAACTGTAAAAAAATTATTCAATTCGATTCAATTTTTAATCTAGAGTAGATTGAATTTTCACATTGACATTTATTTTTTTCAACAGCATTCGAAAACATTTATTTAACTCAAATTAACATCCATTGTGGATATAGATAAAACATTAACCTTTTTAGTGACTAAGTCTTACCAATAGCCAAAATCAATTTAAGTGAGAAGGAATATTATGTACATATAAACAACTATCATGCATAGTAATATGTAAGGATGCACCTATCAACCAAATTAGTTAACACATGCCCATCCATATATATATATATATATATATATATATGTATGTAAGGATGCACCTATAACCCAAATTAGATAATACATGCCCACCCACCCACATACGTATACCCCACATTTACAACATATCTATACCTCACATAAAAATACTTTACTTCCAACAAACTCGATATCTAACTAATATCTTATTGTTTGTCCAATTCATTTCTACCTCCACAGTGTCTGTCAGAGCAATTTAATTTCTTTATTTCCAGATATCCCAAATATTCATATCCATGAAATAGCTAATAAAGTTTGATTTTTATTAAAAATTATTTCTTAATTTTTAATATTTATTTCAAACATCTAATTTTATTTTTTTAATTAAAAAAAAAAAAGTTAAAATTAGTCAACGTATATTTTAATATTTTTAAAAATATGTTTAAAAAATAATTTTAATAATTAATCAAATTAAAAATAATGTTAAAACTTATTTTTTTTAGTATTATTGAATTTATTACTTTAATTAATTAGTCAAAATTATTATTTTTTTGTTGTTGTTATTTTTAATATTTAAATATAATTTGTCAATCACAATGTCGTCAATTAAGTAATTAGAATAAAAGTATGGCCGAGAGGTGTCAAAAATAAATCTTTGTTAGAGCTTATTATAGTCTCATATATTTACCAAGCAATGCAATTAGCATTTCAAAACACAAACCAAAGAAAATACCTAAAATTAGAGTTACAACGTCTTAATTAATTGCTCTTATTTGATGTTAGTTTTTCTAATTCTTGTCATGAAATGATATATATTTATTTACTGCTGTTTAATTTTAATTTTTACTTTATAAAAAAAAAATATATATTAAATCAAGAGAGTAAAATTGTGGTAAGCAAAATTCAAGTGCGGAGCTGTCATCACCATCACAATCAGAATAGGAGGAATATCTGGTGTGTATGATGAAACCAGCAACGATGTGTTCATCATTGGCCCGAATCTTATAATACATGTTGCTCCCCGGTGTCCTCACTGCTGATTTCATGAACCCAGAGAGTAATGAGAAGCTTCAGTAAATGCCAGGAAATGCTTCTTCTTGCAGCAGTTTGTATATCAACCAAGATCAAATGGGCTTGAAACTCACTTCAAAAATTGTCATAAGATTATCTTCGGATCTGATAAGTCTCTCTCTATAAATTGTGTGTGTATATATATTATTAACATTAGTTAAAAAAGTATTTAGTGGCAAGAATTTATTTTTAACATGTTCTGAAAGTACAAAAGCTAAAATAGACACTAATATATATATATATATATATATATTTTAACAATTTATTTAAACATACTCTCTTAACATGGAAAGGATCCAAGATGGAACATAATAAAGAAAAAAATTCTCCTTGGTAGAAGGCATATTCTCAAAGGATGACCAAAACATAGGTGCATGATTTGGATTCTACAATACAGCACTATTTGTTCACAGGTGACAGGCTCCTTGACATCAATACAGCACATATAATCAGAAGCATAGAGTTAAGCATTGCTTCCCTAAACTATAAGCTCATAAACATGTATAAATAGAACTCAATCCAATCAGTACCATCCCTTGTGTGGGAATCCAATAGCTAGAGTTCAAGCCTTGCATGATATCCAGTATGGGTATCCAAAAACACCCTTGTTATTGATTTTCTACCTTTTTGTAAGAATGAGATAATATAACAAAGCATGTACAAAAGATATGAGATAATATAAACAAAGCGTGTGCAAAAGACATTCACAGATCAATTAATATCTAAGATCTCCCAAATCTAATCAGTACAGAGATGGTAACTCTTTAAAACAAGAAAAGAAGGGAGTCTCAAACCAATTATTCTGTCACTCTGTCAAATGAAAAATACCACGTCTGAAGTTCCACAGCTCTACTTCTTAATAACCGACGGGGTACTTGAGCAATAATCGCTTGATCTTCTTACCACCCTGGACACCTTGACAAGATCATACTTGTTGAAAGCAGACACAATACCAACTCAACTCAAATTAAGAAAATGAGAAGTTGGGCATCAAAGGCAATAAGAGAACAACAGCAAATGATCTGAAGTCCTAGCTATCACCTTATACAACAAGAATTTTCTACCTTACTCGGAAGAAATGGAGGAAAGATTTGATTCCAAACACAGAGAAAAGACCGGATGGAGGACCTAAAACAGAATAGATTCCAGCTGTCAATTCCTACTTTATTCATACAGTTAACTGTTAACTTAGTAGCCTAATAATTGCATCATAACTTTTGTATCTAAATCATCTCTGTCGGCACTGTGAATTCCCAGAGAGTAGAATTCCAGTTTTAGTTAAGAAGTAAAAACTAAAGATCTACTTATAACCAACATGATATGGGATTGGAAGTCCTTCAAACATGAAAATTTTCAGTAAAATTTTTCATGTCAAAATTGGTTTTACAATTAAGGATAAGAACAAAGTAAGATTGAACCAAAACAGTATCTAACTTACAAGCAGATGATATCTATCATTAGAATAGTCATAAAACATTAAGTGCTAACACATACTTTGTTAACTATGGAACATTATAGTTTGTCTAAAGGTGGTAAGAGACTTATGGCTCCAAATCTTGCACATGTGAATCATTTTCCTTTCTAGTACTATCAACTTCCTAGAAAACTTGATTCTAAAGCTATAGTGAAGTTGTTATAAAACAAAATTCAATAAACTTAGTTATAAAATCAAATTAAAAATATTTAATAAAAAATGTACAACTAATAAGCCACTACCCATCCTTCACTTGGAATCACTACTTTAAGATAACAGTAGTGAATCATTCACGCATGCCACATGTGCTTACTAGAGCTAGCACATCCATTGTATAAGGCAACACAATATTCTGAACCCCATGATCCCATTTGTTACCATAACAAAAAGGACCAACAAATAAAGACAAGCTCTGGAATAGGAAAATTATCAAATTTCATATTAAAAGATAGACCTAAAATGGAAATAATTCGTGGGGGCAACAGAGTTCTGCCATTCTGGTGGTATCTAGGTACAAACCTATTAAACAAGTAACTGAAATATCAAAATACATTTAATATTAACAAGTATTAAGCCTGCATGAAGAAAAAATACTTGCATATAAAGTAAAGTGACATATACCACTAACATATCTCGTACCTTATCAACTATTTTCCTTTAGTTTCTTGAGCTACAATAAGTTCCTGAAGATAATTAACATCACCACTGTCTGATGGCATAAAAATCTCATCCTCGGTGGTAAAATCATATCGCTCACCAATAGCTCTCAAGAATTGGTATACTTCAAGCATGGTAGGCCTCTCCTTAGGAGTTGATGAAACACACTTGCGTGCGATGCTAAGAGCCTGAAGAAGTTCACTGTCAGAACCCTTCCCAATCAAAGACTTGTCAATCGCATCTTGGAGTTGTGCATTACTCGATAAGTGCATAACCCATTCCACTAGATTTCCCTTAAAGCTTTCCGGAGCATTAGCCACATTAGTAGGTTTCTCACCAGTTACTAGCTCAAGAAGCACAACACCAAAGCTGTAACATCCCCTTTGGAGTGGCCATCAGAGTTCTTGTGTACTCTGGAGCAACATAACCCAAATCCCCAAACTCTCCATTTACAAAGGTGCTCAGATGTGTATCAATTGGGTTCATGAGCCTAGCAAGACCAAAATCAGATATTTTGGGCTCAAAATCAGCATCCAGCATAATGCACTTTGAACTTATGTTCCGATGAATTATGCGGGGATTGCAGTTATGATGTAGCCATGCAAAACCTTTTGCCGCCCTTATACCAATTTTAAGCCGTGAGGACCACTCCATTGGCCTACTAGCATCATCAGTCGGATGTAAGTGATCATAAAGGGTTCCATTTGGCATGTGCTTATAAACTAGAAGCCTCTCCTTACCGACCATACAGAAACCTAAAAGAGGAACCAAGTTTCGATGTCTCACACTCCCCAGAGTAGCCATCTCAGACCTAAACTCTTTTTCAGAGTGTTGAGAATCCTCCAACCTCTTAACCATTATTGAAGT